ACTCAATTTTCCTTTGGTTTATATTTTCTGGTATAACTCAATCTCTATTCCTTCCAACCATCTAGAGACCTGCGTTTTAAGTGGGTATCCCGTAAACAGCATGTAGCTGAATTTTCTTTTCTAATTAGTCTAAAACTATCTTTACAATGAGAAACTGAATACACAATGTTTAGGATCTTAGATATGTGGGCATTTTTAATCATTTCACTTTTGAAGTAATATTTGATGTTTCTCTTTTATCCTTTCTTTGCATTTTATGAATGTTCTTTTCTTTGCTGTTCCATTTTTCCACTCTGTAGCTGTTAAAGTTACATAGCGCTCATCCCTACTTTTTATTAGCTAGTTTTCAATTTTTCCAAGTAGGCATAAGAAAAATCCTAATTCACTACCTCCAGACAACTGAAGCATCAGAGAACACCTCAGATATGGTCATTTCCCTCCAAACTTACGTTATAGCATTCTTTCAGCTTTTCTCTTATTAAGCTGTATCAGTGAAGGAGCTTATATTTAGATTTATCCAGGTGTTTCCCAGGTCTCTACTCACCTAAAAAGCTTTAGCTTTCATTCTTGGAAGATAGTTTTGATGGGTAAGTAATACTGGCTCTGTGTGTATGTGTGTGTGTGTGTGTGTGTGTGTGTTTTCTGGTTTGGGGAAGTCCTCAAAAGCATTCAATATTCCTTCTTCCACTTTCCAATATTGCTCACAAAAAGTCTGTCAACTTGTCTTTTCTGAGTAGTTAATTTATTGCTTTTCTCTAGTTGTTCTAAAGGACGTTTCTGCCTTGGCTCTTTAACTTTTATAATAATGCATTTATGCTTGAGTTTATTTGTATGTATCTTCACTAGCGCATGCTGTGCTTCTTTCTATCTATATATTCATGTCTTTCATCGAGTCTTAAGAACAACCTACTGCCATTTTCTGCTCAAATACTGGTTGCTTATCCTCAATTATCTGTATTTTCTTCTGGAACTCTACTTATAGCTCATTACATTTCCATATCTTATTCTCTGCCTTTGATACTTTCTATCTCTTTAATCCTTCCTTAATATCCCATCTAATGTCTCATTCTATTTAACTCTTTTGTTTTTCATCATTTTTAAATCTCTCATTTAACTTATCCTGTATTTTAAGTTTTAACAATTACATTTTTCAATAAGAAGTACTATTTGTTTCATTTTTGGTTCTCTCTGGTAATTCATGGGTTCATTTTGCTTGATCAGTTTTGTAATAATAAATTTCACTTCTCTATAAACACTTACTATTTATTATCTCGTAACTGAAAACTCCTGTATCTAAACCACCTGGGTGCCTAAATACATTATTTCTGCTTTATGCTAATTTCATATGTGACTGTCCATAAGGTACATTTTTCTAATAGTGTGCTCATATAAGATTATTTTAATCCTCCAATAACTCATAGGTAGAAATGTGATTACTTTTCTGTAGACAAATTTATATTTCTATCTCCCAGAAGACAGAGGGAGTCAGCCAATATGGAATGACCATCTTCAAGATCCCAGCCTGCAGTGAAGCTCATAGATCCCTCCCGCATCTCCGCAGGTGACTCCAGCCTTACTGTCTTGGCAAGACTGAGCCATGAACATGGGCATCTGTCCTCCACACAACCTCACACCCTGTGCTTCCTGCTCACTTCGCTCTACTCTGGGCTCTCCTCCCTCTTGGTGAAAGGGATAACACAAGCTTCAGAAACTCCCCTTCAACTGTGGGAGCCTGTCAGTGTATTACAAAGTATGTTTCATCTAGCACAATTGTTAAGGAAATAGTCCATTCACTTGTACCACAAATGTAACTTAGAACACTGACACTTTTATGAGAATGGTAGTCAGGAGACAATGGGTACCACATGAAATTAAGTAACAAGTGATAACAAATGCAACAGAGAAAGATTCATGAGTGGAATATAGTCATTCGGTCATAAGGTGAAATAGGAGGCATCATAGGTAAATATAAAACATTAACAAAAAAAAATTGACTAAACTTGGTTACTGACTGGATAATGTTTCCAGTCCAACTCAGGCTAAAGGTAATTTTTATGGAAAATCCCCATGCAGTGGAACTCATACACAGGTCCACACCTACTATCCTGCTTCTTGGCCGCAGTTATTGTAGGGGTGAATGATTTCACATATTGTGTAGTTCTAGATTCATGCTAATTTTTAGTACACTATTAATCTTGTATCCACAGCACACAAAAGCAGAAAATATTCCCTAACATAAATATAGAATTGTAGGTAGACATTTTGCAACATGAATAGGAAGGAACATAAATTTAACTAGAAAGATACTATTGTGTTAAGGTAAAGGTGTCCTCTTTATCTTCAAAATGTGGCATTTGGGGAAAATGCTTTGATGGCAGATCAAGTTTTGCACTTGTATGTTACTATTTCCTTTCATACCCCTGGGGCATCCGCTGTTCAACTTTCAGCAAAGTTTCTGTATACTTCCTCCTCCTCCATTGTAAGGCTCTACATTTCAAATATTTCTATAAGAATTTGCAGACCAGGGGGCTGGGGATTTAGGTCAGCGGCAAAAGCGCCTGCCTGGCAAGCGCAAGGTCGTGAGTTCGGTTCCCGGTACCGGAGAAAAACCAAAAAAAAAAAAAAAAAAAAAATTTCAATGATGAAAAAACATATAGCGGTACCTTAGTTCATGAATTTAATTCTTTCCACAATTCTGCTCACAAACTGAATTGGAGAACCAAATCAAATTCAATAGTTAGGT